ACAACTCCAAGCTCTGTGAAAATGTCAAAGACCTCTTTACAATGAAGTAAGAAAGTCTATTAAATCAGTCTATACCCACTTCTTGCCTCAGAAAAAAAGTGCTTTGCCCTTATACTTGCTTAAGTAGCTGTTCTCTGGTAAATGTGAAGAAAGATTATTATTAGATTACATTCAACTTATTTATTCCAATGACAGATACTGGCCCCCCCAATGCAGACTGACCTTAACAATTTTAAGTACATATCTTCCTCAATGTTTCTTTGCTTAAAGCAAAGAAAAACTGTCTGTAAAGACAGACATATAAGATTCTCCAGCCTCATACATGCCTCCTTCTGCTCTTTGGAACCTGCTACAAGTTCAATAGTTAACTTGTAGCCTCCTTTCATTACCTAGGAATTTTAATAGACACTTGATTGTTAGTGATAAATGGGACCAAAACAAACAAAAATAACCCACACAAGATGACCTACTAGCAATAAGAACAAAGACAAGCCTGAGAACCCTAATTTCCTAATTTAAGTCTTTACTGGGAACTGGTCCTTACACTTAAGTTACTCTGACCTTAAATTAAAAGTGGAAGACTTCCCTGGTGGCGCAGTGGTTAAAAAATCTGCCTGCCAATGCAGAAGACCCGGGTTCAATCCCTGGTCTGGGAAGATCCCACATGCTTCAGAGCACCTAAGCCCATGCGCCACCACTACTGAGCCTGAGCTCTAGAGCCCGCGAGACACAACTACTGAGCCCACGTGCCACAACTACTGAAGCCCGTGCACCTAGAGCCCATGCTCCACAACAAGAGAAGCCACCGCAATGACAAGCCTGCACACCACACGAAGCATAGCCCCCACTCGCCGTAACTGGAGAAAGCCTGCGCGTAGCAACGAAGACCCAACGCAGCCATAAATAAATTAATTTTTTAAAATGTGGAAGAGGAATTAGACAATAAATATATTTTTATCATCCCTGGCCAACTGTTTTATATTCCATTCTGATGTTATTATTGTTCATAATACATTGTTGTTTTATTATATCCATGATATTCCTGATGATACCCGGAGGCCTTGTCTTTGTGTCTCCAGGGGCCAATAAATGTTAATTGTTCAATACATGTCTGTTAAATTAGCAAAAGAATAAATGGCATCGGATGGGTGAGACAACAAGGATCTAGGACTTCTAACTCCTTACATTAGGTACAGTCAAATACTCCCTGCCTTTTCTTTTCCAAAATATTTTATTAAAACCAGAGGGACTCACATGATAAAGATGACAACAATATTAAGGCAAAAGGCTTCCCTTTCTGCCTCAAACACTCAACTCTTTAAAGGTGTCACTCCCTGTCCTTATTAAAGCACAGAGGTTTCACAAAGACACTGTCCTCCACTCTCACCAAGCCAACATCCAACTTTCAACCCTATACAAGTACTAAACTGTCTTACTCCAAAGCTAAATAACTAAACTCACACTATGTGTACTTCAGTCAAACTGGGCCAGCAGACTGTGCAGTTAGCAATGTTCTTTTTAGTAAACTCAAAGTTTCTCATTTTGTGATTAGTTTCCAGTAATGCTACCTATATAAACAGCAGCTTTCTTGGAAGGGGAGAACTGGAAGACAAAAAAGTCTTCCATTAGAGCTTTCCGGACAGTACCAAGAGAATCTGAGAGGGACTTTTAAGCTCACAGAAAGGGCATAAGTATGGCAGCAGACATACATAGTAAGGAAACAGGGAATAAAGATGTCTTCGATTCCACAGCACCCACCCAAGCTCTTAGCACTAAAAGTCAAGTAGAAAAGATGCTGCTTTGTATCAATAGATACGACTCTTTAACCTCTAACCTTCACTTCACTGAGTCAAAACTGAACCAAAGCTGCTTAGGAGCTCTGTGGAGTATTCCAAGGGATCACCGCTGATTTCCTAACAGTAGAGGAAGATTAGATTAGAATTAGAATTAGAATGGGGAAGATTAGAAGCTTCCCCATTCACTACCAGAAGTGCTGCCAGGCTGCCCAGAAATTCCCCGCCCACGTCCCAGCCATCCGGGAAACAAGAGAAACCAAGAATGCTGTAATCATGGCCTTTTTGGTATTGGATCCCCAAAAAACTGTGTCTAGGCCAAGACTGTAAATGAAATATCATCCAATGAAAAACTAAACAGTCAAAGAAGTTTTCATTTACCCAACACAGCTATCATGGACATACCCAGCACTGTATAGAGGAAGTTTCCAACCTTATTTAATGATAAACACCCAGCAGAAAACCTCTAGTCACACGTAACTATACTATAGCCTCAGATCATGAATGACGTGGATGGAAAACAGGCCTAAGGGTTCATTGGCAATAGGCTCACAGGATTTTGAAGAAGGATAAGTAGTAAGGTCAGAATTCTGTTAGTGTGGAATCTTTTAGGGGAAAGAAGGCACTTGTAGGTAATAATAAAACACTTAAATGCCAGGAATTGTTCTAAGCACTTTAAGAATATTAACACATTTAATACTCACCACCAACTCTTTAAGATTGATGTTATCAATCCCCATTTTAAGTATGTGGAAACAAAAGAACAAAGGGGCTAAGCACCTTGCTCAAAGGTTTACAGAGCCAAGAAGTGCTGCAAACTAGTCGGGGTTCAGATTCCACTGGAGTCAAGGTAGAAACACAGTGTCCCCTGGTTTCACCAATATTCACTACAATTATGACCTCTGGAAACCCGCTTCCTCTTGCCTCCCCTTCCATATAATTTTTGCTTTTGCTTTTCACTTTAAAGAGATGTCACATTCCCTTAACTTCATAACGTTCCTTTGAAAGCAGTGCACGATATGAGAATATCTTCACTTTACACATAGGTAATTCCAAGCCCAGGTTCCCCAACTTCTACCCCAATGATGCTCTTTGAAATAATCTGATATATGAAGGGAATTGGGGGAAACCAAGTGAAAAGGAACCCAAAGGCGTAACATCAAAAAAAATTAGCATAGCTTTAAAAGCAGGGACATATGAAACCAAACAGATGGAGAGCTGCCACCCCACTCACATACCGTGCACAATAATGCCCCCTACAAAGGTGCCTGGAGCCTGGAGGCTGCACAAACAGCCCTAAAACCAATCTACACACAAGTACTCAGCGACCTGCCCAGGCCCCTCACACGAAGGCGCTCCCTGGATGTCGGCTGCAGTAAAATGAATTCTTTTGTTGAAGTGGGGCGAAGGGAAGCCCAGGGAGCAGTCGGGGCGCCAGGTCTCCGCAGATAAGAAGGCGGCCGCGGGGACCTTGCCCCGTGGCCGTCGGCCTCTTCCGCGGCGTGAAACGGGGTCAGCGCACCGTCGATCACGGGTCCCGGCCCCGCAGCTGGTCTGGCCGGGGGTTCGGCCATTTCTCTTAGGCCGCGAAGGGAAAGGGGTGAGGCCGCTGCAACCTCTGGCGTTTCCTTCCCGCCCCCCGCTCCCGGCGCCCTCCTCTCGGTCTTCCTTCGAATAATGCGGCTCCATCTGGACCCCGCGCCCAGGCCCTCACAGCCCGTGCCGCCCCTCGCAGCCCCGCTCGGCGCCCCGCAAGCCCCATTCTGGCCCCGGCGCCAGCTCCCAGGGCTCCTGGGGAACCCGGGGAAAGCCGGGCGCCCGCGTGACCTCTGACCTGCCCTGCACCCCACCTTACCGGCTCTGCAACCACCTGACAGTCTGTCCCCGCGCCAGAGGCTCCATACCCCTGGAACTAGCGCCACGCCAGCCTAGCCCCTACACGCCCCGCGATTGGCCGACAGGACCGCAGCTGCACCTTCCTATTGGCTGGATTCTCCGTATTCCCCTCGGCTGCCGGCGAGCAAGGCGGGCCGACGGCAAATTGCGGCGCTCCGCCCTCCCCAGGACAGGCTGGAGGCGGGGCCACGGCGGCCCGGGCGGGAGCTGTCTCCTGAAGAGCTAGTGCTCGCGCTGGTCCAACCCACAGTGTGGGTTGGAGTCTTCCACCTCGCTGGCGACCTGCAGACACGTAAGTTTCCTGCTGTAGTTCGCCGCGGCCTCACGTTAGGTCCTGGAAATCAAGATCATTTCTTCTGAGACGCGGCTCTGTGAGAGATACAGCTCCATCCTACAAAGTATAGCCACCTGGCAGGGCCATTTCCTCTCGCCCCCAGAGCCACATCATAGTATCTGCTGCCCCACCAACAGCACCCCACACCTGGGAGGAACCGCGAAACATCAGCTAGTGCAGCCACTTCGGCTGCATCAGTTGCCCTATTCCCAAGCTTCGGTAATGAATTGTTTTCCGGTCTCCTACGCAGCGGCCTCGCTTCTCCCCCAAACTTTATTCTCCATCTACCCAAAAGTAGTCCCACTCCATCCGCAGTTTCAATCTCACATCCCAGAGTCTTTCTCTGAAGATGATGACCAGACTTGTGGTGCTTTAGAGAGGAGAAAATAGTCTGACTAACCACCCTAATTTTCTAAATGTCGTTTAGAGCTACCAGAAACATTCTTAGACACCCCTCTCCCTGCGCCCCCCATCGCCCCCATAACTGCTTTCATTAAAGGTAACCAAACTTATCTAACCAAGTCATAGGCCTAGAGAGGAAAAGCATAAACCCCTCCAACATCTTTCTTCCTGTAAAAACTGCTAGGAGAAATTTTTATTAGTTGGTAAAAGAGTCCAAGAGAAGAGGAAAGGAGAGTAAACTGCAAAAAGGAAAATCCAAATAAAGTACAAACAAATTCAAGGACCCAAAAAAACTGGGCTGAGCATCATCAGTTATCTGGTACAGGCTAGTTTCCATACAGAATTTCTCCTAGAGAGAAAAGAAAATGCACAAATTAGTTCTGAGAATCTCTCTACAGCACATATGGGGAGTTTCAGAAAGGCTTGATGAAGTCCCTCCAGACCAGAACCTTTCCTTTGGGAACTTCTACTGCAACTAGAAAATAAAATGGCTGGAGCCATCCTTCTCTCATTCCAGTTGGGCTCAGGTGGGCAACTTCCCTGGGCTGTTGCATACTGACTTGCTGGCTACTTACTTAGCTCAATGTGTGGAGCTGCCTCCTTCTTAAGCTGTTTCTTCATTGTGCAGGCTGGGTTTAACTTTTCCCAGTGCCAGCTCCTGTCTCCTGCCTCTATATATGCAGACAAATGTGCCTCCCCTTGGTTAGATAAGGGCACTTTAGGCTGCTCTGGGCAGCACATTTTTAAAGACACCGCATGGAATTTCAAGAAGCAAACCACACCCTTCAAAGCATAATCAAATTTCATCTTTGACCTGTCATGAAAACGGAAGCATATATACCTGCCACTCCTGGGTATTGATGAACAATGAATTGCATTTGAAAACTTTTATTCTACGATTTCATCTCTGTCTCATTTCACAGGAGCTAGAGGCAGGCCTGTGTGTGCCAGTGGTTGAAAGGGTTGGAGAAAAAGGAATTGCTTTCCTTCAGGATGCCACCCCACTTGGAGGGAAGCTGGTTTGGGCACTTGAACCAGGGCTGCATGTGCACTAGGACTCTGCTCCCCTGAGACGTAAGCTGAAACCAATTAACCCCAAGCCTGACAGTCCAGATATTTTCCACATAGGTATGTGCAGCACCAATGCAATTATAGGCAGTCTCAGAGTATGGGTAAAAATGCCACCCAGTCCATCCCTTGGGATCGGAAGGACCTGCTGGCATCAGCCTGGTCAATCAGTGATCCACAGGTGGACAACAAAGCCACACAAACCCAGGACTCTGTTCCTGATGTCAAAGGGAAAAAGAAAAAACACCTGAGACTGACAAAAAAAAAAAAAAAAAAAATCCAGAGCAAGCCAGGATTTCTCAATCCAGGAAGACAGGAGCTGGAAAAAAAAGGGGGGGGGGGCGTGGAATTTGCCTCAGACAAATATAGTTTAGTACACCAGCTGGAGGCAAAGCTGGAAAGGAGAGGCATTGGAGTGGGGTGAGGAGAATGGGTGGGATAGTGGAAGGAAGACCTTGCTGGCTTCAGGAAGTTTTCTGGTAGTTTTAAGGTAAATCTGCTTTAAAAACATATGCAATAAATGTGATAGAAAAAATTACGTTAGAATGGAAAAGAAAGAAAAGCAGCAATCAATTCATATCCATCTTCTAGCAAGAGGCTCTAGTGCCTACACAGAACAGCCATAGAGTCAGTAGAAGGAACTATGGATCTTCTGTCCTCGACCCAAGATGAAGATCTCTTCATTCAAGTACTAAAAGTCATCTCATTACAACTTGACCTATCTCTTTGTCCTTGTTCTACAGCAGACAAGTTCCCTAAGGCAAAACTGCCTTAAAGGGCTTCCCTGGTGGGGCAGTGGTTGAGTGTCCGCCTGCCGATGCAGGGGACACGGGTTCGTGCCCCGGTCCGGGAGGATCCCACGTGCCGCGGAGCGGTGGGGCCCATGAGCCATGGCCGCTGAGCCCGCGCATCCGGAGCCTGCGCGTCCAGAGCCTGTGCTCTGCAACGGGAGAGGCCACAACAGTGAGAGGCCCGCGTATCGCAAAAAAAAAAAAAGCTGCCTTAGATTGGGGCTCAATTTGTTCCCCTTCATGGGAAAGTAGAAGAAAATATGAAATCACCCATGAACTAACCTGTTGCAGGAAAAGGCCCTATTTTGGTTTAGGACTTCCAAAACAGGAATGCATTTTACAATGAGACTCTACCATAGCCCCCCCTATTGCCTCAGGAATTGCTCCCAACGTACACACTCCACTCTTTC